ATCAATTTTTACGTCATTGTGTTCATGGACTATATCTTGGTGTATTTTGAATCTTTCCACGGACATGTTCAACACATCGAGTGCACGTTGGGGGCATCGGGAGATGCTGGTTTCAAGATCGCACTTGAAAAGAGTGAGTTCGTCATTTCGCAGGCTTTCGGAAATCTCGTTCCTGCGGTACGTGGTGACCCGAGGGGGCTTGCGAAGAGATTCGAGAAAAGTCGAGGCGGTTCAAGAAGCCCCCACTCCTACGTCATCCACGCAACTTCAAGCCTTTCTGGGATTGGCCTCATACTACTAGAGGTTTATTAAGGGGTTTGGGGCAATTGCTCGGCCTCTAACAAACCTCCTATCAAAAGACCAGCCGCTAAAGTGGGATTTGGCTTGTGAACAAGCCTTTGTCACCTTGAAGGAGGCCCTCGCTTCCACACCTATTTTGATTTGGTCCGATCTGGAAAAGCAGTTTATACTCGTCACGGACTAGCAGCCTGAGGCGATCTGTGCTATTTTGGCCCAGAAGGGGTAGGACGGCCGCGAACACGTCATCGAGTACGCCTCCCGAACTGTACCTTACGAACGCAGGAACGATTCGACCCCACAAGGAAAGTGCTATACGTTCGTTTGGGGAATTCAGCACTTCCATCCATATCGGTACACACAAAAGTCCCTCCTCGTCACGGATCATGAGCCCCTGCTAGCTCTCAAAAGGCTCACTAACTACACAGGCATGATTGGACGATGGGTTGTCCGACTTCGACATGATTGGACGTCACGGATTATGAGCCCCCACAGGAGTACGACTTCGACATCATTCATCGGAAGACGGAAAAGCACGGGAACGGAGATGGGTTGACACAAATACAACGTCCAAGCAAAATGGCAAAAGGTGGAGAGATTACTCTGTGGAAGGAGCCGGCACCAGCCAAGGGACCCCCGTACGGAGAAGTGGCCATTCTCCCCCGACCCTCCAGGAAGTGACACATGGACACGATGGCGATGGCTGGGGAAGGTAAAACCAGAGGCCCACTTTCTCCCCTCTCATCCTATGTGACACCCGCGGCCTAGGCGCAGGCATTTCGGCCGCTGAGGCCTAGATTCTCGACCACGGCCTCAGCCGATGAGGGCCAGTCCCCCCTCCTAAAAATACGTAAAAAAAAAAAAAACAATCGGGGTGTAGGGCCTGGAAAACCCGACACTCCTATATTTTGGTTTTTGGAATCCGACTTTGTTTTAAGATTTTTTAAAAATCAAAAAGTTAAATCGATTTAAAAATATATATATATATATATATATATAAAGAAAAGCAGGAATTTTTTTTGGTCATTTTTTATCATGAGATATATGGTCCCCGAGTCGACCTGTGTTTTTTTTTTATAAATGAATTTCTGTTTTTTGCAGGGAAATGAGGTGTTAAAAAAAATATATAGATGCAAAATTTGAAAACAAATTAAAAAAAAAAGGGTTTGATTGATTGATTGAGTGTGAGTGTGTNTTGAGTGTGAGTGTGTGTGTGTGTGTGTGTGTGTGTGTGTGTGTGTGTGTGTGTGTGTGTGTGTGTGTGTGTATGTGTGTGTGTGTGTGTATGTATGTGTGTGTGTGTGCAATCAGACTCGCTCTCTTCCACACTTTACATGCATGCAAACAGCTGCGCAGCAAACTGGCAACATGCGCCCACTCAGAACTCAGAGATATGGTACTGAGAACACAGTTAAGATTCAAGTTCACTTCGAATGGCTATCATGTGTGTGTGTGTGTGTATGTGTGTGTTTTTGTGCACACGTGTGTGTGTGTGTGTGTGTGTGATGTGTGTGTGTTTGTATTTTTTTTTGTGTGTGTATGTGTGTGTGTGTGTGTGTGCGCGCATGTGTGTGTGTGTGTGTGCGCAACAACTGCGACCCTCCCCGCGAGCCGCGCAGCTCCTGCACGACGACAACTGCGACCCTCCTCGCGCGCGCGAGTGCGAGACGTCATACCTGTGCTGCTCCGACCATGTCGGCACACCACAGGTAGCGGGCAAAGCGAGGAGGCGATTTACAAACGCGGCAGGTGAAGGTTCAATCGTGTGTCCATTTGTGGTGAGGGCGAGAAGAGCCTTTTTGCCAAAGGTAAATGGGCACACAAAGGCAGCATAAGACAAGAAAAGAAGGGGCCCGGGGCGGGAGCCCGTTTTTCGAGGAGTAATTCCACTCGACACATACATATGCAAATCATTCCACCCGCGATACCATGAATTGCCAACACACACAGCTTCATATCTATAAACAAAGCATCATTCAACCATCCAGCATTACACCCCCATGAGCGAGAAGGAGAGAGATAGGGAGAGGTAGGGGTGTAAAAGGAGAAGATAGGAGGGGAAGAAGGGGCAGAGGGAGAGAGGCAGAAGAAGAGGATGTGGAGACGAAAAACGAATAGAGGAGGAGAAGATAGAAAAAAAGGGGGAGAAAATGGAAAAGGAAAACAAATAAAGAAGGGGAAAAGGACGAAGACAAATAATTTGCCTATGCAAACGAACTCTTGCATCCCAAGTGAGATTGCGAATCCGACATGCCCTTTCCAGGCCTCGCATGCATATATTGGAATAACCTCATCATTCATTGTGCAAACACAAAAGAGACAGGAAAAGCAAAGGAAAGAAGAAAGGAGAGAAACAGAAAAAAGAAATAAAGAAACGAAAGGGAAAAAGAGGAAGAAAGAAGGACAGAGACAGAAAAACACCGAAGAAGGATCGAAGAGAAAAACCCATACAAATTTGTAAGAAAATCATAGAGTGTAAAACTTATTTATTACAAAGTACTCCTCGTTGCCAAGATCCGGACAGGTAACCTTCGACTAGTAAGGGGAAGAAAGCGAGAGGAAGGGGATAGAGGGGGGAGGGCTCCTGGGAGAGATAGGGGAATGGGGAGGGCGGGAAAGGAAGATCCTACTTCAACTCTGTCCTCTAGGCCCAAAGTGCTCTTGTATCCGCACGGACTATCTCGCCGAATCACAGGAAGGGCATGGCAAATCCTTGAAGTGCTTTTCTACCCCATGCCATCTGGGGTGTCATTAGAGGGGGGACATCTTACATAGCCTTTGGAAGGCGGAGGGGGCGTGGTGGGGCGAGGGGGGGTGCATCGAGAGGGGGGCGGAAGGTGGTAGGGGGAGAAAGTCGTGGAGGGGGGGAGGTGGGGACAGAGTCTAGGTGGAGAAGATGAGGGAGGGGAGTAGATAAAGGACAAAAAGGAGGGGAAGGATAGGAAGGACAAGAATGCTAAAAAAACGTGAGGAGACGTCCCAACCATTGTCCTTGACTCCATCGCGTGCCACCTAGCCTGTACGTGCAGTCAGCGAGCGACGCTGATCGCGAAGAATAGGCAACAGCAACAAGACAGAAATAGGGACATGAAGCAGATAGTGCTCGCGATGAGCAGGGCGAAGCTTCTGGCAAAAGCGCATAGAAGCACTCTCTCTGAGAGGCAGGCGGTGGAAAGCAAGCTTGTTATGGCAAGATTGAGAAGCAAGGCGAGGAGGAGCATCAGACCTAGGCAGGCGCTGAGCGTCGGTGTAAACGGGCTAGGGCAGAGTGCGGTAGGGTCGGCGGGGCACATTGCGTCGGTTTGCATTGTGCAGGGCTGAAGCACGGTTGGATCGGCAAAAACAGTGAAGTCCTCATGCCTGGATCATTACCACTTCCTCCGCCTCCGGTTGTTCTTCTTCCAGATCCTAGTCGGCGAACAAATCCATGTCGTACGCTGCCACACCAAACAGTCGCAAAACCAGAACGCGCCACGCCCTTCCCTTAGCCAAAGCTGGTTATTGCACGGTGAACCGATGAACAGTACCTCCGACGCCCATCCCTAATATAGTCCCTCCTTCATTGGGAATCGCGTACTTCTACCAAAAACCTTCCCACCTATCCCTCCGTTTATTACAGTAATCCGTCGGTCGTAAATCGTTGTAAATAGAAAAAAAAGAAGAAAGAAAAAAAGAAAAAAGAAAAAAGAAAAAAGAAAAAAGACCAAAGAAAAAAAAAGAAAAAAAAACAGGGAAAGTCACGAAAGGAAACAAAACATCGTCCCCGTTGCCCTATGGCCAGCGCACCTGGCCAGCCTTATTTCGCCCCGACCCGGGCGCGTGCCATTCCATGCCTATTCGGAGTTGCGGGAGGCGGCTCCGCATGGTTCAAGAAGTACCTTGGTCCTACTGATAGGGGGGTCTAGCATCTCTTATTGTTATCCCTCAGATCGATGTATGCATAGCACAAAACTACTTGACAAAAAAGGGGGGGGGGGAAAGGGAAAAAAGAAAAAAAGGGAAGGAAAAGAAAAAAGAAGAAAGAAAAAGAAAAAAGGAAAAAAAGAAACCGAAAGGGGAAAAAAAGGAGGAGAAAGAAAAAATCAAAGGAAAAAAAGGGAAACCAAAGAAGAACAGAACAAAAGGGGAAAAAAAAAAAAAAAAAAGGGAAAGAAAAGCAAAAGAAAAAAAAAGGGTTCACCTTCCTCCGAGGCCCGCCTCGCTAGCTTCAGCCATCCATGTGTGTGTGTGTGTGTGTAATCATTTGTAAATGTGTGTGTGTGTGTGTGTGTGTGTGTGTGTGTGTGTGTGTGTGTGTGTGTGTGTGTGTGTGTGTGTGTGTGTGTGTCCTGCCCCGTTCCTTCTGCGGGATAACCGGGGCCGAGGGGATCTGTTGCCCAGAGGACAACCGACCCTTTTCAGCCCAGTCATCCCCCGGACACCAATCACACATAGAGACACACATACACAGACACAACCACAACACTTAGGCAGTAATTCCATGCAAATTGGTCAAGGCCTCCCTGATCACGTGAACATACAGTCTACCAGGTTTATAGAGATAGGCATTCCGAAGGGTCTTTTTGACAACTGTCCAGCATGCGTCGGAGGCGAAACCGTTGCTTCTCATCGTTGCCACCACGCTCGCTATTTGATTCGCCGCGTCCTCTAGCTCTGAGCATAGTAGGAGAATCTGCGCCACTTGTGCCGTGATGATCTGTAGCGATTGCCTGATGCTTTTGTTGGATTTGTACTAAATGAATCTGCATGGGGCAAAGCCCAGTCCAATGCGCCTGTCATGCCTCGTAGTGGAGTAGGAACCGTTCAACGGGGAGGTGACCATGATGGTCATGCTGAGAAAGTTGGCCACCCGGCCAAGTCCGTCTCCATCCACCTTCGTGTTCTCCTTGATCTCAATGAACTCATCCGGGTAGATCCAGCAGGGGTCAACTGCCTGTCGGCCTTCCCTCTTACTCAAAAAGGTTTTCATGACGGCGTTGTTGACAGTGCCTAGGTCGTCAATGTACCTGAATGTGCTATCAAAACACGATATCAGATGGGTGTTCCCCATATCCACCAATCTCATCATGGCCTGATATTCATATTTAAAAAAATAAATGTCGCACCATATGCAGGCGGGGCCGTCGCAGCAGGTAGCGTCGACCCGTATCATGCATTCGGGGCGAACTCCATGAGATATGGGAGCGCGGCCGTCGCAGCAGGAAGCTCCGATAAGGCAGAGAGTTCGCCCCGAATGCGTGATAAGACGGCTGCGGGCGGCGCGAGAATGCTAGCAAACTCAGGGCCATACAGTCTCTGAAAGGCCAGCTTGTGTATGAAGTTCTTGCAGACAAAGGCCGACATGATGGGAGCCTTGTCCGTTGGGTAGATGAGAAACCTGCTAGTTAGGAACGCCAGTTCTCTCTTGACGACCAGATGCTCGAATGGTTCCACGGCGACGTGCCTGTGTGTCGCTTGGTACTTCTCCATCTTCTCCTTCCCCTTCTTCATGATGATCCTCCGAAGAAAGGACTTGGTGGAATCCGTAAGGTCGTGCAGCTTCATCACCCGCGCAAAAAGCTCGTCCAAAAAGTTGCCAAACTCGGTGATTGCTTCATCCACATCCAGAGCCATGCACGGGATATGATTGAGGCCTGCATTGATGATGTTCTGCAGTAGCGGACTATCTGTGATTGCTGAGTCCAGGGTGATGACGTGCGTGTAGCCCTCGTTGTGGAGCAATTCAATCGACCAGCTGCTGCGCATGTCCGTGTACCTTCACGTTCTGCATGGGCACTGCTCCGGATCGTAACCCTCCATCCACTATGACATGTTAAAGTCACAGAATGTCTCCGCAGGTTTGCAAAGCTTGGACGCTATACTGTGATTATAGGTCCATCCAATCCTGGCGCGCTCCAACCAGGTCGCCGTGTCATCTCCAATCACTCTGCTGAGTACCCCGTTAATCAACTTTCTGATGGATAGCGGTTCCGTCACACGGCAGGTGTACTTCAGGTGCAGGAAGGCGTCACATTCCGATTTCTGCCTCCTCCATGCTTTCCTGCCGTTCAGTAGTGTGATCATCTGGCCCGGGCCACTGACCCATCTGTTCGGATCCTGCGTTCCGACGCAGACAGGTACAATACATGGAGTGTGTCGGGGGGGTAAAATATGCCACAAGTGTAGAGGCAAAAAATGGGAAAGAAGAAGATCACATCACGCAAATGGATCATACAAAAAGTACGCGGGACCAGGGAGAACAGACGAGGTGGAAAGGAGGATTGGGAAGGAAGACAAAAAGGGGGAGGGAGAGTTCGACAAAAGTGAAACATAAAAAAGGAAAAACAAGGAAAATAGTAGGGGGAGAGAGATAAGAGGAAGCCGTAGACGTGGCTGGAGAACGGGCTGCTCATGTTTAAGCCCTTGTGGGTCGTTTGGAGGAGGCAGCCCCGCCTCTTGCCCCGCCTCCGCCTCTCGAATTCTTCTTTTTCCTAGCCTTCCCAGGCTGGGTGAGTGTGGATTACGCAGAGTTCTCCGGGGAAATGTGGATGATAGGCGGAGGAGTGAGTCCCCTGATAACCAAAAGCGGGTGCTGAATGGAAGGGAGCGAGGGGGTGAGAACAGGCAACCATGCGGCAAGTGGCATGGGCGATTGTCGTGTCCCGGCCGCGGGCGAGTTGAGGGTGGTGTTGCCCGGTTGCAATACTACCCCTGCTTGTGTAGCTCGGGTGGCGGGCTCGGCGGGCTGATGCTGTGTAGGGTGGGGAGGGGGRGGGGGAGGAGGGGGAGGAGAGAGGGGGGGGAGGTAAAGGGGCGTCGCCCGCAGGCTGGGCTCTCCGGAAGTTGAGTGTGGTTTGGTGTGGTACTTGTGCTCCCTCGGTTCTCTTTCGTGCTGCGGCACGTGGAGAGCTGAGTGGGACCTTTGTTGGTCTCTCGGTAATCCGGGTAGGGAGCATAATGCGCGCGAGTGCCGTCGGGATTGGATAGCTCCAAAGGCGCTTTTCTTTCAGAACCCCCTCCGCGTTCAGGGTCGGATCTCCTTCGAGTTCCTTGGTGTATCCTATCATCAGGTCCCTAAGGAAATGGAAACAGATGGCCGCTAGTACCCCGTCCCTCCACGTGGTCCAAAGATAGTGTATGAGCATTGACGTCCTGATCTTGATCGAGGACATGTTAGGAAAAGGATGTCTGGATGCGCTAACAGGTACCAGATAACGTGATCAAACCACAGTTGGGTATCCCCGCAGTCCTTGTTCCTATCCTTCTTGCATTTGCACTTCAGATATGGCCTCCCCACACTCCATACCTTTCTCAGGGTCCTAAGATCGTGCTTCCCTTCCTCTCTGATGCCCTTCTGCCACATTCCTGAATTCATTTCCCGACATTTATGGGGATCCAGTTCACGCATGGGAGGGAACTTCAGGTCCTGGGGATCCAAGGGGCTGACCCTACCACAATACTTCAATTTCCCTTTTAGTATCAATGCCCTGCACTATCTAACCTGCTCGTCCGTGATGTTACCTAAGAACTGGAGTGCCCGGACATAGATCGGTGTAAGATGGTTGAAGGTATCCATCATCCAGATCGTGTGCCTAAAGGTCGTGGAGGTGTGCTCGACCCAATACGTGGATGCGAGAGGTGCAAACGCGGTATATTGGTTGCGCTCCGAACCCTCACCCACTTTTTTGTCGGTGGCGAGCGGAGAATCCTGGGTGGTGGCTTTTATCGCAGCGATCGCGTGCTCCATCTTAATTCTCTCCTCCTCTTCAATCGCAAGATCATCACACAGCGTCGCGGGGTTGTCCCGAGTGATAGTGGGACCACCCGTCCTGGTTTTGGGCACCCGACCTTCTAGGTGGGAGTCATCCACACCCTAGATCTTGAGAAAGATATGTTCGACCTTTGCGAATCTACCCCCGAGTTCCCTGCACTCCCTAACATACTCCTGCTTCCTCAGCTCGAGTTTCTCGCAAAGAATCCCAGTTCGTCATCGAATTCGCGCCGCCCTCGGTTCCAGGCGCCCGTAAGAACGGCAAGATCGCTAAAGCCGAGCATCTCAAAAAAGTGAGGAAAGTGACCAGAATCCCACTTTGCTTTAATAACATCGATGACCCCGGGGTTGACGCAAGTAAGCAGCGCCTGCGTAGGTTTTGTGGGGAAAGCGCATTCCTTCAACCATGGAAGGCGGTGCAAGATTTCATTCCACCATCGCAGGTAAGCAATGCCTGCAAAGGTTATGCAAGTCACACCAGTTACGTCTTTTAAGTTTAACTTAGTACATAAATTATCGAAGTGCGACGAAATTCATATTTAAACCATCTCGTTTACCGTTGGTTGCCTTACAATCACACTTCGATTGAGTTCCCATAAATGAATGCGAGTCACAATATCATGTGAAATAGGTCTGATTCAATGCTCACACAAAATTAAGCAAGGTGTGATGAAATCGAGAGCTCAACATTTAATTTCTTGTTCAGTCTCTCATTGCATTAAGTGTAACAGTTGAATCTCTGGAGTTTCAATTTCTGACAACTCCATGTTATTACCGTAACAACTTTTAAGTCACAAAATTTATGGAGTGCAATGGAGTCCACACTTAATCCATCATGTTCAGTACGTGATTGCCTTGAATCCCCAATTGAGTTTCAATTTATGGCATGTCAATTGCATTCTTCGGTTTCACCACTCGTACCCTAAGTTTCATTCAAGCCCAAAATATGATGATTTTAACATAAAATTAATAGCTTGTGAGTATCAATTTAAAATATAATTTCCTCTTTTAACGAATAACATGTTTTATTAAGTTCGCCATAACATATTCTCTCATGTGTGGGCAAACTTCGTTTTTTTTTCAAATATTATATTTTTTTTTTCTTTTGGTTTTTTATTTTTAACTTGCATTTGATTTTGAATTTGAAGATGTCCCTGAGACAAAAATTGTTTGTGTTATTATTTTACATAACATATATTTTTTGACAAAGATTTTACTATTAACTTCAAAATTGCTTAGTAGAGTCTATAAATGTTGAAAACGGTATATAGTTCTATTTGCCAGAATTGACAAGAACTGTTTTTTTACAATTTTTGAGGTTGTTTTACTTGAGCTCTGCTTTTCTGCAAGTCTATTGAGAATTACTTATAGTCCTATAACAGGATCTTTGCAAGAAAGAGTTTTCCTCCACATCTGCAGGATCTCTCGACTGTTCGCTTGATTTTTTGCCTTGTCTCTCCGAAAGTGGTCGAAAACTTGAATGTGTTTTTTTATTAATTAGATATATAAGTTTGACTTCTTCTTTTTCACTCTATACAAAATGTTGGGTTTTGTGGTTTTCTTGGGTTTTCGCGAATCCTGTGTTGGATCCGAATCGCGTAAAAACCAGTAAGTTTGCAAGATATCAACGACGGTGTAATACTAGAAGAACACGCGGCAATCCGTGGGGCAGACACCCAAATGGTTGCCATGGTGTTCTCCTAGCGATCAGACAACTCATTCATTTCGGCTCTCCCATCAGAAAACGGTAGTATAGTTGGCACGAAACAAGTGACGGTTAGCATACACGGACAACTCTATGAGCTACATGTACCCATTTACATGCCAAACGAAACTCATCAACTAATCGTAGATATCCTTATCGAATATCAAGGGGTGATTAGCGTCAAGGACACCGATATCGGACTGTCGTTGGTTATTCAACACGAAATCCAGACTGGAACGCACCCACTAATCCACTTGAAGCCATACCGATATTCCCTCGCTGAACGAAAGGCCGCGCTGGAACAAATTATGAATTTGAAGCTAACGGATGGATTGAACCACCTACCAGACCATGGTCATTCCCCGTAGTCTTAGTTCCGAAGAAAAATGAGCCGGTTCGCATATGCATTGATTATAGGAAATTGAAGACATCACGATGAAGGATGTGTACCCCCTCCCTCGGACTGATGACTTGCTAGATGCGACTGAATGTGCTAAATATTTCAAAGAGTTTGATATCCGTCACGGGCTCCGCCATATCCTAGTTAGGGAGGAGGATCGGCCAAAGACGCGTTCGTATTGTTCGAAGGCACGTGGCATGGGTTGATTATCCCATAGGGATATGCAACGCACCGACCACCTTTCAGAGAGAGATGAACATCACCTTCCAGAACTTCATCAATAAGACTCGACTGACCCAAGGCATAATCAACTTTTGCATCATTGTGTACATGGACAATATCTTGGTGTATTGTGAATCTTTCCACAAACATGCTCAACACATCGAGTGCACGCTGGGGGCGTTGAGAGGTTTCAAGATCGCACTAGAAAAGAGTGAGTTTGTCATTTCGCACGCTTTCGGAGATCTCGTTCCTGCGGTACGTGGTGACCCGAGGGGGTTTGCGAAGAGATTTGAGAAAAGTTGAGGTGGTCTGAGAAGCCCCCACTCCTACGTCACCGACGCAGGTTTGAGCCTTTCTGGGATTGGCCTCTTACTACTGGAGGTTTATTAAGGGGTTCGGTGCAATTGCTCGGCCTCTAACAAACCTCCTACGAAAAGACCAGCCACTAAAGTGAAATATGGACTGTGAACAAGCCTTTGTCACCTCGAAGGAGGCCCTCACTTCCACACCTATTTTGATTCGGTCCGATCCAAAAAAGCAGTTCATACTCATCACGGACTGGCAACCCGAGGCGATCTGTGCTCAACGGAAAAATTTCCCAGAATTAAAAAATTATTCTTTAGTAAAATTACAATCTAAATTTATAATTTTCATTCCATCTTCAAAAATGTCATTCCAATTTTAAAAATTTTCATCTTACTTGCAAACTTTCATTCCAAGAACAGAGTATCCCTTCTTATTTGGACTGCATGCTAGAGATGGAATGAAAGTCTGG